TTGAATTATGTGCAAAAAACACAACAAAACTAACAAACTAGCTCAATTTAATAACATGATTATAAAAATTATCATATATTAATGTACTCCCTCCGGTCCTTTTAGTTTACATATAAATTTTGTCCGAAGTCAAAGTATCTCTAATTTGACCAAACTTGTAGAAAAAAGTATCAACATTCATAATGCCAAATCAATATCATTAGATTCATTATGAAAAGTAGTTTCATATTATATATATTTGGTATGGTATATGTTGATATTTTTAATATAAATTTGGTCAAACTTTGTAAAGTTTGACTTGATATAAATCTTTACGTGGAGTAAAAAGGACTGGGATGGAGTATGTAATAGTGTATCACTTTCTAATAATATGCTCCTTCCATTTCTAAATATAAGTCTTCTTAGAGATTCTAATCTGGACTATATACAGTGCAAAATGAGTGAATCCACACTCTAAAGTACATCTATATTCATTCGTATGTAGTCCATATTCAAATATTTAAAAAGACTTATATTTTGAAATGGATGAAGTAGTACCAAAAGGTGTGATTAGGTGAACAATTGAGTATGGCAGAGGAGTTATGGTTATGGTATAACTGAAAGGGATTGATAGACTTGGACCACATATATATGAAGAATGAGTCCGTGTGACCAGTGACAGGGCTGCATGTACAACAAAAATAAAGAACATCGCATACGTATATGTTTTTGCATTTATTCTTTTGCTCGATATCGGCGCCTTGTTTCCGTATCCGCACATAAGTTTTCTTTTCTTTTTTATTTCGAGTGAACTTTGTTTGTACTTTCCTCTAGTACAGTTGGAAACTTTATGTACAAATTTCACTGCCTAAATCAGGGTAAAGTTTGCTTAATTCTTCTCTTTGGCGTAGCAAGGCTTAACACAAGATCTGAAATCCTAGGTTTGACATCTTTTGTGTCTCTTCAATATGGATTATCTTACTAAGACGAATTATCCTTTCAGTGGTACGTAAGCAACGTATCCGTCTATAGCAAAAGATCCTTCATGAGTTTGCCAATCATGATGATATGCGACTCCAGTCTTGACATTGTGTGAGTGCGTGTGTGTGTGATGATGTGCATGTGTGTGTGTCGATGTATGGACCCTCAATGTGCTACACCAATCGAACTCCTACGATTCTTCCCTTTTATGAGTGAAAACTCGGGAAAGAAAGATGAGTCACATCTCACCATTCAATGTTTAGAAAAACGTGGGCTCACTCTAGGTGTGGTGCACAAACTCCTGCGATTCTACTTTTCATGAGAGGAAAGTCGGAGAAGAAAGAAGATTAGCATCTCATTATTTAATGTTTGCAAATGCACTTGCTCAAACTAGGTGTAATGCATACGAAACACTTACGATTCTTCAGACAGGAAAGAAAGAAGACTCACACTCAGAATGCAAAACAACTCCCAAGAACATATATTCCAGGGTGTAACAAACAACTTTGCAAATGTCAAAACTTTGCAAACAAACAGGCATGTATTTTGTTCGTTTTTATTTGGGTATCTGTAAATTTTGATGGAAAATCACAATATTATAGCCTGTGCAAAAAAACCTTCAAAAATAGCCATTTTAGAGCATCTTTTTGTTTTCCTTCGAAAATAGCTGTTTCAGAGCGCTTTTTTTGTTTCACTAGCAAAAGGGCCCGTGCGTTGCAACGGGAGAGAAAATTGACGTGTTCATCAAAATATCCACATGCATGATATGATAGCATTGGATGACATACAATTTGCTGTAACATAGATTGACCTCGCAACGATATACGTCTGACTTTACATCAATGTCGGTCGTTCTTACCGTGTTCATGTGGTCAGCTTTGCGACGTCGTCCTTCTGACTTAAAATACCACCAGCCGTCTTTGTAAGGTATGCATAATTGGCTCGTCCTTCCGACTTAAAATACCACCAACCATCCTTGTAGGGTATGCATAGTCGGCTTTGCAACACGGCGGTCACCGGTCGCTGCTGGTCATGTACATACGTGTCCTGGCAGTTGCGATCCCTGTGGTGATGCTTTCATGGTAACACATCAGAGGCACAAATCCAAACGGCTGACTCTCACCAAATCAATCCCTTTTACTACTTAGGGATCAATTCCTCTTAATTTTCCCAGCCATGCACAAAGCGCGTTCCTTCCTGCATTAATTATTCTCTTAATTACAGACTATTAGGTACAGAGCCTTGTTTTTCAACAGACAGGCATGCTGGCTCTACTGGTTGCGGACTTCGCTCCCGGAAAATCCTATATGACGCATTCTGCGTCAAGATGTCGACCTTTCGCACAGGAGGTCGCGATCTAGCGTCGCGATGGCCCGGCCCGTTCATGTGTTCTTCGTTCCCGGTTTCGGGACGCTTCTAGTAGGAGGTTTCAGCCGGTCTTTTCCGGTTTGAGAAATCTTCTAGAAGGTTCCTAAACCGGTTCTTTTGTTTCTTTTTTGTTTTCTTTTCGTTCGTTTTTCAATTTTTTTTCTGTTTCGTTTTTCCTTTTTCTTTTCTTCTTTGTTTCCTTTTCAGTTTCCAATTTTAAATAAATTCAGAATTTCATAATTTGTTTGGAATTTCAAATTTAGTACAAAATTTCAAATAATGTTCGGAAAAATTGAATTTTGATCACGTTATTCAATAAATGATAAAAAATAAAAAATGTTCAGATTTTCAAAAGTTTGTTCAAATATAGGAAACTTGTTCTATTAATACAAAAAATGTTTGAGTTTCACATTTTTAAAAATGTTCAGATTTTCAAATTTTTGTTCACGTTTTGAAATTTTGTTTCTATTAATTTAAAAAATGTTCGAGTTTCAAAACTTGTTCGCATTTTCAAAATTTTGTTCACATTTTCAAACGTTGTTTCCATTAATTCAAAAAATGTTCGAGTTCCAAAATTTGCTCACATTTTCAAAATATGTTCAGATTTTCAAAAAAAAATCACATTTTAAATCTTATTTAAATTAATTCAAAAAATGTTTGAGTTTCAAATCTTGTTCGCTTTTTCAAAAAATGTTCACAATTCAAAATAATGTTCGATGGCCAAATTTTGTTCAGAGTTACAAAAAATGTTCCCTTTCTCAAAAATTGTTTCCAGATCCAAAAATATGTTCACTTTCTTCTAATTTTGTTCCAAGTTTCAAAAAATGTTCGCTTTTTCTTTTTTTCGTCTAAATTTTATGAAATGTTCTTGTTTTTAAAATTTGTTGAACATTACAAAAAGGCTTTGCTGTTTTTCAAAAATTTGTTCACAGGTCAAAAAATGTCCAACATTTTAAAATAATTATTCACTATTTTTGGAATAGTTCGCGTTCAAAGAAAGATACAGGTTTTGAAAATAAACTGCGTTTTTTCTGCAAAGAAAAGAATGAACTGCATTCAAACTTCTAAAAACGTTTAGATCTGTCGTGGATTATGTTCTTATAGTGTTTGCTGCTCAACATTTGCAAATAACATTTAGTGGTGCAATGGCAAGCGCACATGGGTACTAAATGGGAGGTCTTGAGTTCGATTCTCCAGCCGCCCTCTGTTTTTTGCGTTTGTGAGTTCGAAACTCACACAAGCGCCTAATTTTTAGCTGCTCCCCAATAAGGCCCAGGTTGGCCCATGCAGGACAGTCAGACGAAATTCAGCCCAATTACTAAAAAGCAAATTAATAGCGGGATTCAATTACTAAAAAGCATATGAATAGTATCCGAGGAAAAACTCACACAAGCGCCTAATTTTTAGCTGCTCCCTTTTTTAGCTGCTCCCCAATAAGGCCCAGGTTGGCCCATGCAGGACAGTCAGACGAAATTCAGCCCAATTACTAAAAAGCAAATTAATAGCGGGATTCAATTACTAAAAAGCATATGAATAGTATCACCTCGGATAATATGAGCGAAAAAACTGAAAGCGTAAATTTACGGGAAGAAGCGTATTGTGACGGTGAACCCACAGAGTCAATCCGTGCTTTATTATTAGGGATAGATTATAGCATATGCATTTTTTTCATGAAACTTTGTACGTGGATAGAAGACACAAACATTATGTAGTAATTTTTCTTTGAGATTTTTGACGTGCCCAACTCATGTGCCACTATTTAAATGGTATTTTCGCTTTTCAATGATATATATGGTACACATGCATCTCGGTGCACCTACACCATGGTTTTCATACCCAAGAACTTAAACAGAATTAGAAATGTAGACAAAATACTCCCTAGTTCACTACTTTCGCATGTGAGCTCACCAAACATGAAAAGGCCCCACGACTTGCTTTAACGTTGCTCTTCCCTCTTCCCTTTTTGAAGAATTTCTTTTGAAAATTGCATTATTTTACTTGTCCAAAGCAACAGAATGTACATGCATTTGGGCGGCTGCCAAATTTCCTAATCGAATAAAATTAGCATCGGATCGCCTGCAACGCTTTGCAAACTTGCGAGCAGTACAAGCACTGCCGAAAGATGCCAACACAACCGCGCAAATTCCAGTCCGAATCGGATTCCCGGAAATCCTGCACAGTAGCAAGTACAATTACAAAAGACACACAACAGTGGCGCGAGCGTAGGCTAAGCATGCACTTTTAGCTCAGCTCCAACAGGAACCAGGCTGCAGCCAGCATCCAGACTGATGAAAAGAAAGGCTGTTGATTGAGCTGATTATTCTCGCAATCGCAGGACGTAATCCGACAAAGGGAACAAACTACAGCTGTGAAATGATGGTTTTTTCCTTGTATTCTTGACTCAAATAATACGCAAAACTGTCGAACAAAAATAAATCACGAGATACACTGTTATATCTTCTATGTAGCGCAGCACATTGTAAATGTTGCTTGATTATCTTCAAGCAAAAGGGCAATAACATCTTATGCAGAACTGAAACTCCTGGTATAAAAATAATATGAGAAAGCCATATACTACGTGGTACCACTAGCGAAAACTGAGAATTCGCACTGTCGTCTCGTAGTTTCATCAGTTCACGAATTTATTCACCTGGAGTCAGGTGACCGGCTGCTCACATACGCATAGGAATCGATGCCCCGGCCGATGGAATGGTTGCGTCAATGTTGCTAGGCATCAACACGTTGAAGCCATCGGCTGCTGTGGATATGATCATCCCAGGTATCTGTGGATGCCAGTGCAATTCCTTCAAATCTTTCTGGCCCTGCGTGCAGAAGATAATGAACATTATACATGTGATTCAACTATGAAACATAGCCAGTTCTCTTATGTCTACATGGGCTTAGCTCTGCCACTGTGTATTGCAAGAGCGAATATGATAATAGTACGCACCTGATGAACAAAGAGAAGTTGTGGGGGCAAATCTCGGGGTGCATTTGCTTGTTCTTTCATCTTGGCTTTGAATTCGGCCTCCTCTTCTGCGTCCCTTTCCAACGAAAGATCCCAAATCCTGGCACAAATTAATTATTATGTTATTATGGCATAGTAGTATGAGATGTCAGATATTTAGGGAAAAAGTTCAGCAATTCGGTGCAATCATAAAACATGAATGGGAGGAGGGTGGGCAGAGTTACGTACGTCAGTTGATTGTCGGCAGATGATACGGCCAAAGTTGATGCTTCATATGGACTCCATTCCACAGACGTAATCGGGTGCTTGTGGTACGCAAAATGTGCTACCATGGACTTACCAGGCTCGCCGCTCTGCCAGCAAATAAAGTCAGAAGGGAGAAACATTTGATATTATAAACACATTATCACAAAATCCCAGCTTTATTGTGAGTTGACCGCAAGAGTACTACTAGTTGAGGAGGTCCACCGAAAACCGACAAGCCAAGGACCTTGTGTTTTTATCAGCATGGAATTACCTCGATTGCTCTAATATCATGGACTGAGATACTGCCATCATCACAACCTGATGCTATAAGAGAACCTGCAAGCCTGAATATGAAATTCAGAGAAGTTGTAATGTACTATGTAGAAGACATTATAGTGTGCATAAAGATAGCAGATAGAGCACATACGAATTCCATGAGATCACATTCACGTCAGAATTGTGAACCTTAACAGGAGCATAACAAGGGTTCCTCCCTATACGTATATCCCATATAGCTATCGTCCCATCCACGGAACAAGAGGCAAACATATTTTCTTCTGTGGGATTCCACTGCAAAACAGAATTGTAGTAGCTGATATATTAAACAATATTATAGCTCATAGGATATATATATATATATATATATATATATATATATATATATATATATATATATATAATACATTATTGTGTTGCACACCTGCAGATCTTCAACGCTTGCAGAGTGTCCAACAAATGGCTTGGCGTCTACACTCCAATCGCTTGAAGTCGGCTCCCAAAGGTGAATGCACTTATTGCAATCGCCTGCATTTATACAAAGAATAAATTCTATGAATGGCGACATCTTTATTCCAACTGTACCAGGGATAAGACTTTGTACACACCAGAAACTAGTCTTCCAGTAACATTTGGACTCCAATCAATAGCATAGCCTTCATCTTTGTGGCCGCTAAATACTTTTAGAGGTACATGATTGTGGATAATGCCGTTATCTTTATGTGTAACTGTTCCTGGGTCTTCTAATGAAGCAATGAAGGAGCTGAAGTCCCACACCTGCATATGTAATCAACAGAGCACACAGCTAATTATATAGCACATGGAAGTAGCCAATGTGATGCATTCTGTTCCTGAGCAAGTTTTCGGAAGGAAATATAATGCACAGAATATATGTTCTGTTGCTGGGCAAATAGGACACTACCCATGTACATTCTGAGGCTTTTTCATAGGGAAGTACTGAAAATAATAAACTTCAGCTTGATGTACAGTAAAAAAGTTGATCTATCTCAAAAGAGCAGGGCATGATGTGCAGCATAAATTTTGTGGTTTTGATAAATCAGATGTGGACTAACCATAGTAAATTACCTGAACATGACCTGTGTCTCCCCATGTAGCACATATTTCCGGCTTTTGATTCATTGAGCGTATTCGGTTTATCGACCCCTCGTGAGCCACCTTTTGTAACTGGTACAACAGAATAAATTCTAGGTTACCAAGGGTCATGATGGATTCTGCATAATTACTTAAATGCCAGAATTGTAGTTTGGCACTTCAAGAATGAACACACATGCAAAATGGACTCTGCATCTTCATTGATTTCTTCATCATCTTCGTCGCTGCTGCTGTCACTATCCATATCATCATCACCATCAAGAGCTGAAGATGGTATTGGTTCCCGTTTCTTGCCCTTTATGTTGGAAAGCTTAAAAATACCAGCATAATTCCATGAAGCCTTCTCGGACTGAAAGAACAATTAGTCCAGTTCTTACGTCAGAGAGAATGTCCACTATTATCACAAAATATATACTATTTGAGATGTCGAGTGGACAATAATAGTTAACAAACAAAAAACAGAGGCATAGAAGGATCAAAACTTCCTCGTCATGGGTCAATAACATAATCATGTAGAATTCCATAAACACATCATGTCACTCAAGCTAAAAACCAACGTAACAACACTTCATTTAAGTTAAATGTGGTTGGATCTACAACTGACAAAATAGATAAAAGTCGACGATAACATTCTTCCCTACTTTATTGAGAGGGGTCTGATGGACGCGGATCTTTGGGTCTTGGGTGTCAATGCACCCGAATGGGGAAAAAATAAAAATTGCAAAATTAGTCAAAATTCTTGAAACTTCTTGGAAACAAGGGTATTATACTCGTGTGAAAAGTTTTGTGAAGGAATGACTTCCATGATATTATAGGCTGAAAAAACAAAACCGACACTAATAAAAGGTACTATCCACACTTTTGTACTCAAAATTTTGTTTTTTTGTCCCAAAGTTCGCAGAAGTCACTCCTTCAGGGACTTTTTATACGAGTATATAAAACTATACCATTCTTGTTTCCAGATTTTAAACAGGATATTATGGCACATGTGTTGCAGCCATATTAGAGTTGTTAGGAGATAGGAAAATTAATCCAACACTTAATGTACTCTTTACATATCTCAATATGCGCTTGGCTGCTGTCAAATGAGCTCTAGTTGGTGCATGAAGAAACTGACACACTTTATTTACTGCAAAGGAAATATCAGGCCTGCTGAGTGTCAAATACTGAAGTGCACCTACTAGACTTCTGTACCTGGTGCCATCCTCTTGATTCAAGGGTTGACCCTCTACAAGAGAGAGTTTTTCTGAACTAGACAATGGTGTTGATGATGGTTTACACCCCTGTAGACCAGCCTTACTCAATAAATCAGTTGCATATTCTCTTGACAAAGATGAAGTCCACCTTCTTTCATTTTCTTAACTTCAATGCCAAGGAAAAAAATGCAAATCCCCTAAATCTTTAAGTGCAAATTATGAGTTCAAATCTTTCAAAAGTGTTGTTACTGCTTCATTTGAAGAACTAATGATGTCATCAATATATATAAGCACAAAGATGGATGTATGTGACTTGTTATAAATGAATAGTGATGTATAATAATCAAAGGGAACAAAACCAAGTGCTTGCAACTTAGAGCTCAAAAAAAAGTACCATGCCTTTGCAGCTTGTTTCAATCCATAGAGAGATTTATCAAGCCTGCACACATGAAATGCTTTATTTTTATCTTCAAACCCAGGAGATTGCCTGATATAAACTTCCTCTTCCAAAACACCGTGAAGAAACGCATTTTGCACATCTAGCTATCTAAGGCTTCATTCTTTGGACGCAGCAACAGGTAGAACAAGACGAATTGTGGCAGCTTTAACAATAGGACTGAAAGTGTCCTCATAATCTATGCCATACCTCTGCTTGAACCCTTTTGCAAAAAGTCTGGCCTTGTAACGCTCTATGGTACCATCAGACCTTCTTTTTACTCCGAACACCCACTTGCAGTCAATCATACTTTTACCTGGATGTGAAGGAATCAGATGCCAAGTATTGTTTTTGTGAAGAGCATGAACTTCTTCATCCATAGCCTTTTTCCATATGGGATCAGCAAGGGTCTCATTGACAGTGTGTGGTTTTCCTGTAGAAGTGTTTGAACCAGTCAAACCATACTTAGTTTTATAGTTAGTTGGATTTAAAACACCTGTTTGGAGACGTGTACGGGGCGGTGTAGCAGGTGTATGCGCAGAAGATCCAGCGTCCTGTTGTGCAACAGGATCAGCAGATCCACCTGATCCAGCCGATCCCAAGGAGGCAGAGCTGCCCGCGCCCGCTAGATCCTCTGTGGTAGATGAGGGTGCCACAAAAGATCCAGGCGAACTAGTCGGATCAGGATCGATCCGTGCACTGGGCCCACCTGGCGCGTCGGACAGCATGGCCCGCCTGGCGTAAGTGCGGGGGACCGGCGCGTAGCCCCTAGTTGGTGGAACCCGCTCAGTCGGGCTGTCCCTTGGTGGAGTCTGGCGCGGCCTGCCAGTGGGACGTGTGGCGTTCGCAGGGTGGTGGAGAGCGGGGGAGGCAGGTGCAACACGGGTCGGGTGGTGGGGCACTGATCCCGGGGTGGATCCAGGCGCAGTCTGCTGCACCGATCCCGAAGGAGATCCAGGCGCAGGTTGCTGCACCGATCCTGAATATGATTGCGCCGGATCTGGTGTGTCCATGCCAGGATGATTTTGCACTGTTTTGAACAAAAATTTCATCATTCGTCACGCCATTTTTTGCCATGTTAATCTCTTTAGAAGAAGACTCATGTGAAGCCAAAGAGGAGTTAGTCAACATTAGATCATCACCAAGGAGATGGCAAGGAAGAAGAAGAATTTCCTTGTTGAGAGGAGCACCGGCATTGAGATGAAGCTTTTCAAAGGGAAATTGAGTTCCATAAAAGACAACATCACGAGAGATGTAAACACGACCAGTGGACACGTCTAGGCATTTGACACCCTTATGTTGAGCACTGTAGCCGAGAAAGACACATTGCTTGGAACCAAACATGAGTTTGCTAGTGTTATAGGGACGAAGGTTAGTCCAACAAGCACAACCAAAAACTCTAAGGGTGGTGTAGTCTGGTGTGACATGTAATAGACGTTCAGTAGGAGTTTCATTTGAGATGGTATGAGTGGGCCACATATTGATGAGATGAACTCTAGTAAGGAAAGCTTCATCCCAAAATTTTAGTGGCATTGGATGCCGCAGCTAGAATAGCTAAGCCTACTTCAACAATATGTCTACGTTTTCGTTCAACATAACCATTTTGTTGATGTGCACGTGGACATGAGACATGATGTGAGATGCCTATTTGTTGAAAGAAGAGGTTTAACTTTTCAAATTCACCACCCCAATCTGATTGCTTGGCAAGGATCTTGCTATAAAATTTGCGTTTGACAAGGGCTTAAAAATTATGAAAGACTTGGAATACATCAGAACGCTTTTTAAGAAGGTAGATCAAGTGTATTTTCTAAAGTCATCAACAAAACTCACATAATAAGAATGTCTACCAACAGAAGTTAAACTCTTACAACACTAGTAGAAATATCGTGGTTATGATCAAATCTACACGGCTGCAAACGGTCCAGGTATGGAGATAAGTCACATTGGTAAATCAATCATTGAAACCCCACACACCAATCTTGAACTCAATGAAATCTTGCATGTTTCTAATGCCTCCAAAAATCTTTTGTTTGTCCATCATATTGCTCTTGACAATAATGTGTTTCTAGAGTTTCACCCTTTCTTCTTTTTGATCAAGGATCATGTATTCTTCATAGAGGTGTTTGTGTGCAAGGACTCTACTCATTGCTTCCCAAGTATTGCAAGTTCAATAAACAAGTGTATGGTGCCATCAAGCTTTCTACTGAAAGGAAGAACAGTCGTTTAGGTCATCCATCTTTTCTACTGTTCATCAAATTCTTAGTAGAAATAAACTCCCAGTTGTTGGTGAGAGAAATTCAGAAACTATATGTGACTCATGCCAAAGAGAAAAAAGTCATCAATCGCCCTATCCTATCTCTACTAGTGTGTCTACCAAACCCTTGCAACTTTTTTTTCTGATGTTTGGGGTCCAGCACCCACTTCTGTTCGTAGACATTCTTATTATATAAGTTTTGTTGATGACTTTAGCAAATACACTTGGATCTACCTTCTTAAAAAATGTTCTAATGTATTCCAAGTGTTTAATAATTTTCAAGCCCTTGCGAATGCAAATTTGATAGTAAGATCCCTGGCATGCAATCAGATTGTGGTAGTGAATATGAAAAGTTAAACTCCTTATTTCAACAAATAGACATCTCACATCATGTCTCATGTCCACATGCACATCAACAAAATGGTTCCGCTGAAAGGAAACATAGACATATTGTTGAAGTAGGCTTAGCTATTCTAGCTGCAGCTTACTGCAGTTCATCTTATCAATATGTGGCTCAGTCGTACCATCTTCAGTGAAACTCCTATTGAATGTCTATTACATGTCACACTAGACTACACCAGCCTTAGAGTTGTTGGTTGTTCTTGCTGGCCAAACCTTCGCCCCTAACACTCGCAAACTCATGTCTCGTTCCAAGCAATGTGTCTTTCTCGGTTACAGTGCTCAACATAAGGGTGTCACATGCCTAGAGGTGTCCACTGGTCGTGTTTACATCTCTCGTGATGTTGTCTTTTATGAAACTCAGTTTCCCTTTGCAAAGCTTCATCCCAATGTCGAGAAAGAAATTCTTCTTCCTCCTTCCCATCTCCTTGGTGATGCATGTGGGTGTTGATAATGATGATCCAATGTTGACTAACTCCTCTTTGGTTTCACATGAGTCTTCTGCTATAGAGATTAACGGGGCAGAAAATGGCATGACGAATGATGAATTTTTTGTTCAAAATGGTGCACAAAATCATCCTGTTGTGGACACACCAGATCCGGCGCGATCGTCTTCGGGATCGGTGCAGCAGACTACGCCGGGATCCTTGCCGGGATCGGTGCCCCACCAGCTGGACCGTGTTGCACCTGCGTCCCCCGCTCTCCGCCACCCTGCGATCGCCATGCGTCCCACTGGCGGGCCGCGCTAGACTCTACCAGGGACAGCCCGATCGAGCAGGTTCCACCGACTGGGTGCCCGCACCGGTCCCCCACACTTATGCCAGGAGGGCCCAACACGCGGATCGATCCAGATCCGGCTGGCTTGCCCGGATCTTTTGCGGCGCCCTTGCCTTCTGCGTTGCCCGCATCTTCCACAGAGGATCAGGCGGGCGTTGGCAGCTCTGCCTCCTCGGGATGGATCTGCTGATATTGTTGCATAGCAGGACGCTGGATCTTCTGCGCATACACCTGCTGCACTGCCATGTACACGTCTCCAAACAGGTGTTTTAAATCCAACTAACTATATAGAACTAAGTATGGTTTGGCTGTTTCACATTGTCATTGAGGCCCTTGCTAATCCCATATGGAAAACGGCTATGGATTGAGAAGTTCATGCTCTTCACAAAAACAATACTTAGCATTTGGTTCCTTCACATCCAGGTAAAAATGTGATTGACTACAAGTGGGTGTTCGGAATAAAAAGAAGGTTTGATGGTACCATAGACTACCTGTTGCTGCGTCCAGAGAATGAAGACTTAGACAGCTAGATGTGCAAAATGCGTTTCTTCACGACGTTTTAGAAGAGGAAGTTTATATGAGGCAACCTCCTAGGTATGAAGATAAAAATAAACCATTTCATGTGTGCAGGCTTGATAAATCTCTCTATGGACTGAAACAAGCTCCAAGGGCATGGTACTCTCGTTTGAGCTCTAAGTTGCAAGCACTTGGTTTTGTTCTCTCTGATTCTGATACATCACCATTCATTTATAACAAGTCACATACATCCATCTTTGTGCTTATATATGTTGATGACATCATTGTTACCGGTTCTTCAAATGAAGCAGTAACAACACTTTTGAAAGATTTGAACTCAGAATTTGCACTTAAAGATTTAGGGGATTTGCATTTTTTTCCTTGGCATTGAAGTTAAGAAAATGAAAGAAGGTGGACTTCATCTTTCTCAAGAGAAATATGCAACTGATTTATTGAGTAAGGCTGGTCCACAGGGGTGTAAACCATCATCAACACCATTGTCTAGTTCAAAAAAACAATTTCTTGTAGAGGGTCAACCCTTGAATCAAGAGGATGGCACCAGGTACAGAAGTCTAGTAGGCGCACTTCAGTATTTGACACTCACTAGACCTGATATTTCCTTTGCGGTAAGTAAAATGTGTCAGTTTCTTCATGCACCAACTACAGCTCATTTGACAGTGGCCAAGCGCATTTTTTCTTTGTCCCGAAGTTCACAGAAGTCACTCCTTCGGGGAATTTTTATACGAGTATAACACTATTACCATTCTTATTTTCAGAAAGTTTCAGAACTTTTTGACTTGTTTTGAAATTTCTAAATTACTATTTTCAAATCAGGTGCAATGGGACCTGAAACGAAGAGCAAACCCACTTTCTTTACTAATCAACATCTGCCGAATTCTTGCACGGAGTTGAGAAATTTCTATGGCTAGATTCAAAAGGCATGAAGATAAATGCAACCTGAGTTCCAGCAATGCCGTATAACGTATGTGGGAACTCCGACCGCACAAGCCCGAGTTGATCGCGCAGAACATCAAAGCTACAGCAAAGTGTAAATCATTGAGAATCAATCATATATTGTGCTGTGATCAGGACAGAAAGAACGCGCGCCCGTATGGAGGTTTTTGTTTTTGTTACCTCAGGCAAGGCCACCCAATGCTAAATCCTCTGAGATAATTGTAAGCCTCCGGGTCAAACTGGAGCTCCTCCCCCTCTTCCAGCGCATCAACACCTGGTTGCCACACCTAGGAAAAAGCACACACCGGTTAAGCTCGATTCTAAAAGGCACAATCAGCACAATTTTGGAGCTTCCATGGTATATCCAGCGCACACAAAGTTTCTTTGTAGCTCAGGCTATATGGAACCTCTTATTCTCAACCCTCCAGCCTTGCTTTGAGATCCGTACTCTCCAACTAACTAACAACAACAAGATTTCTCTTTTTTGTTTCTCGAAAATGAAACAACATATGAACTTCAAACTTTGCAGACCGAACAAACATTAGAACATCAATGTGTGAAACATTCAGCGCAGCCGAAGATTGACAACATAAGACGAACGGGTTATGATCCCTCACCTGAGCCGGGCCAGAAGCCACCGCTGTGTTGGTAGAAGACGACGACGAGGCCTCGCCTTTCCTGGATCCCTACTCAGAAAAATTTCCCCACCAAAAAAGAAGAATTAGGGATACAGAGCTCAAGGCTTGGACGAGGACTTGTGCAAAATTATGGTGCGGAATCGCATGCCTTGGTCCTCTTCGACCTGGCCTTTTTGATGGTGCGAGCCAT